ATTCTCAGTCTTCTCCAGCAAACATTCGAAATACAGCGATGTGAGTACTGTCTCAACACATCACTATTGACTACCAGATGCTCCGGCATAACACTGACACAGGCACGTCACCCCTACCTGACGACTGGCCTTGATCCGACCTCACAGCCACAATGACCACCAACAGAAACCTGATTCTGCTCACGGGCGCAACCGGATTCATTGGGTTCAGAGTCTTGGTTGAGGCTCTGAAAGCGGGTTATGCCGTTCGGTGCGCTATTCGCAGTAGCCAAGCCATCAAAGTCATTCTTTCGACACCGAGCATCAGAGCTCTGAAGCCGAGCGAGCATCAACTTTACTGGGCCTTTGTCCCTGACATGGCAGTACCCGGAGCTTTTGATGCAGCTGTCAAAGGGGTCAAGTACATCATTCACTGCGCGTCGCCCGCGTCCAATACCAACGTGAGAGGGTCGGCGCCTACCAATAGCGACGAGTCGCAGGTCCAGACGGCCATCAACAGCATGTGCTGGTTGCTTCAGAGCGCCTACAAGCTGAACCCAAGCACGGTGCTCCGAATTGTGTTCACGAGCTCGCTCACTGCCATCATACCACCTGCCTACTTCAAGGGTCAGGGAGGGTTGACCGGCCCAGCTTTTGATGCCGAGAGCCGATTGCCCACGCCCTCTGCGCCGTTCGCTTCAGGGTCCGGCCCGCACGCTGCTAGTAAAATCGCGGCACTGAACGCGTCTGAGAGCTGGGTGCGACACTTCCGACCATCCTTCGACCTTGTCTCCATCTTGCCAGCGTGGGTCTGGGGTCGTCATGAGCTTGCTGGCACGGTAGATGAGCTCACCAAAGGCTCGAGCAGCGTCGTCATCGATTTCCTTCGGGGTCAACGTAATGACACGCCAATGTGCGGAAGTTTCATCGGGATCGAAGATGTTGCAAAGGCTCATATCCTCGCACTCAATCCTCAAGTATCGGGCAACCAGTCATTCATTCTATCATCAGACATGGCGTGGGAAGATACCAAGGTGGTAGCACAGAGGGCTTTCCCATCTGTCTTTGACAAAGGCATCTTCCGCGCGGACGGTACGCAGGAGTCTGCCTGGATCGCGATTGATGCGAGCAAGACGGAGCGTGTCCTTGGTCTCAAGTTTCAGAGCCTCGAACATGTCGTCACTGACGTGGTGTCCCAGTGGCTTGAGCTCTCGCAAGCACGCTTGGGTGAGTGAGGCTCGTATGCTAAGATATTCCAGGAATTGCAAGTGTCATTGTGACTTGCAGGACGCTGGTCAACATTTTGACGCTGGTGTTGGAATGTATCTTCATTGTCAGCAGCAGAACTTTAACGCGGCCTTCGGCTTCGAGAACAAACCAAATCGCGTGTTTTTCTTTTTGTGCCAGCTACCAAAGTTTTCGAATCTCGTAGCGGTGTTGCACTCGTGAAGACAAAGGGGATGCACACCTGGATGTACGCCTGGATGTACGCCTCGGAGCAGACGGAAGAAACGCAAGAGGTAACATGTCACTGACGACAGTCTCCGTCTGTGCGATCATCGCCTTGGCAAGGGGTTCCTGGAGTGAAGAGAATGTTTCGATTCAGCTCGCTAGCTCGTTCCCGGTCGCGGCAGGGCACAAGGCCAAAGCCCATGGTTCTGTCACGTCAAATGACCCATACAGTGGTAGGTAGTAAACGATGGCTTTCCAAAAAGAAATATGGTCCACGAGTGGGCTGCGTGGACTCGACCTCTGACATGCTGTTCCCGCACATGTTGGATGGGAGTCGTCATTTCGAGCGTTTAGGCAACCCTCTCCCCCAATCGTGTACGCTTGTTCGCTGATCGACTGCTGCTGACATGCGGCGACCATGTGAAGACGGTCGATACCCGCCGTGATAGACTGCCCTGGGTATCTGTGCAACGAGAGACGAATCAAGGACCGAGCTAGAGGAGGGGGCGGGCCTCTGTGGAAGGGTGAGAGCAATGGTTCGGCCGAAACATTCCTCAGGCATTCCATGACGAAGTCCCATGGAGCCCAGGACCCGTGGAGCCCAGGAGACCAGAGGCTAGCTGTGATACAAGACTTGCGTCAAGTGGCGCTTGAGCCCGAGACCTCGGCGGCCGGAGCTTTCTATTGACAGGCGAAGATGCACAAGGCGAGGTCGTAAGGGCCGCCGACTACTAGTAAGGTAGCGCAGGGTGTGACTCGTGGCAAGGGAGTGTGCAGCAGGTGGGGGAGAGACATGAGGATGTCCCTGAGGATGTCCCTGCCTTGCCCTGCCTGCTCACCTAGGGAGGTGCCTAGGTACATGTACGCACCTAAAATGTACAGTACAAACCAAAGCCAGCGATGAAGAAGAGGGGAGGCCCGAGTGCACGATCCACCGAGCTCGGGCCACCACTTTGGCCCCCTTTTACCAGGCTTGCCAGGTCGCCAGCAGGATGCAGTGTACATGCTGTTATTGCTAGTGTCGGTGCTAGGCCCCCTTTGTTCACCTGAATCCCCCGCTATCGTCGACTCCTTGGTGGTCTCCTAGCGCGACCCTCCTGTAAAGAAGCAGTGATTGGGTCTGAGGGGGCGCCATGCTACATGTACAAGGCCATGAAGATGAGGGCGCCTTGCATCTTCAAACCACGTCCAACCTGGACCCGAGAACCAAGACCAGAGGCTGGGATCCCACCCACTCGTCTCGCCCGCCGTGCCACACCACCATCACACCACACCACTAGCAGGCCACAAACCCCATCTCGTTACCGCTGTTGCTGTGACAGGGCCCTTTTTTTTTTTAATCTGTATCCGATTCTTTTGTCGCCTCAGTTCCAGTTTCCCTCATCTGCTGAAAGTACCGTCGCCCACCCTCGCTGTTCCATCACCAATCCTGGAGCTTCACAACTGGCGCCTTCCAACCGATCACCACGACACAATTCTCCTCGTGGCACCGCATTCGCTGACAGGACACCAATCGCAAATCGCGACGCGACAATCGCGTGCGTAGGTAGATATCGTGAGTTGACTCGTCCCCTATCACATCCCTCGGACATCCCCCAGCCTTCTCTGGACACCTATCAACCGTTTTTGTCCCATTCTCCTTATTCCTGTCGTTGGCCGTCCCAATTCATGCCATCGTTTCTCTTACCCATCACATGGTGTTCATGATTGGCGACTTGTTGGCTAGGGGTCGCTTTCCCTCCCCTCTACCTATCCCCCCCCCCCCCCCCCTTTCACCTGTGCTCGACATCGATATCGGTACACCTGTCTACCTCACTCGAAACCAAACCAGCGCTTTGCTCTGGTCGGAGCTTCGCACTTTGGCCCTTGGCCGCCGCAGCGGACAAACTCGTTCGGCATCCCTTCCTCTTTCCTACACGTCTGAACCCCCTCCCAGCACTCTCCCGGGTTCCAGGCTCTCGCTCACAGGCCACCCACCCCCAGCACACCACCTGGTCCAGCTCCTTGCCCACCATTGCCCGGCCCAGCGTGCACCCCCCGTCGCAGCAGTGGTCTCTAAACAGACCGCCATCCCCACTTCGCCCAGGCAGTCGGGCGTGAGTTTCCTGATAATACGTCCCTGTCAACCAGCCCTGTCCACCACCGTGGTTCCCCGTCTCTACTTCTGTTCCGCCTGTGCTGCTGCTTCTGCCCGCGGCATCATCTTCTTCCGCGACCCCAAACACCTCCGACTCTCTAACCTTCATGCAGCCATCGACCAAAGCTACCCCGAACCCTTCGACATAGCTGCCAACCTCCCTCGACCATCGCCCACTCTACCCGATCCATACCGTTACCGACTGCTGCTTTCGTCACCCTTGGTCCGACCATTGCCCAACCCCCTCACGATACCCATTTCGAAATTTGCCTGGCATTGCGACCGCTCTCAGCCATCACGACCCTATCCAACCCCCTTCAACAGCTGCTATTCTACAGTCACCAACCAATAGATTTAACGACATGGCTCAACCAGGTGTTCAGTCTTTGAAGGTTAGTCAATTGGCCTTGCGTCATCACTCCATCAGGGGGGCCTCCTTGTGTGGTTGAATCACCAGCTGACGTTGAATGCCTCTATAGTGCGTCGTGACCGGCGACGGTGCCGTCGGAAAGGTAAGCCAACCCGACTTGTTCATCATGGTGCGCCAATCCACTGACTTGCGAGAATAGACGTGCTTGCTCATCTCCTACACAACGAATGCTTTCCCTGGCGAATACATTCCTACAGTGTCAGTCTCCGTGTGTCGCCGGTAGTCTTCTGTTGGACGCGATTGCTGACATGGAGATGGCAGCTTTGACAACTACTCTGCTAGTGTTATGGTGGATGGCAAGCCAATCAGCTTGGGACTGTGGGATACTGCCGGTCAAGAGGATTATGACAGGCTGCGACCTCTCTCTTACCCCCAGACTGACGTCTTTCTCATCTGCTTCTCCATCGTCAGCCCGCCGTCATTCGACAACGTGAAGGCTAAGGTAGGGTTACACGATCCCCGTAGACAAAGTTGTGTGAATTTTGTGTGCTGACTGCGCATGCAGTGGTACCCCGAGATTGACCACCACGCACCAAACATTCCCATTATCCTCGTCGGCACTAAGCTCGATCTTCGGGAGGATCCCGGCACCCTCGAGTCGCTGCGCCAGAAGCGCATGGAGCCGGTCTCCTACGACCAGGCCCTGGTGTGTGCTAAGGAGATCAGGGCGCACAAGTACCTCGAGTGCTCTGCGCTCACGCAGAGGAACCTCAAGAGCGTCTTTGACGAGGCTATCCGGTATTTCAACGCGTCACGACTCTGGCATTGCGACAACCTGCTAACTCGGATCCCAGTGCCGTCTTGAATCCCCGCCCCCAGATGCAGAACAAGAAGAAGAGCAAGTCTTGTTCGATTCTGTAAATGGGCCACATTGTCGACGGTGTCTGAACGTCGACGCACCGTGAGGGCATGCTGTTCGCCTGTGTAGAGTGATGTTCCGCATCATCCTGGCCCGCACCGAGCAAGGGTTACGCAAGCCTATCATATATAATTCATAACCAAGAGGGGACGATCTGGCTGGCACCGGGCACAGCACGAAGGACGAATGACACAGTGATGGCGTGTGGAAGGGGATTCAGCACTGATACCAAGTGAAGCCCCTCTTTTGTTCGTAACGGCATGGTAGTGGGAAGTCGGAGACAACCTCTCGCGATACTGAGAGTCAAAGAAGGCTGGGGAGGCCAGGGAAGGGCGCAACGAGCCAACGGACAGCACGCCGGGCATGACACGAAGGATATCCCAAGTCACGTTAGTTTTCTGTAGATAGCATGCGTCTGTGTCTTTGATTCGTACAAAGAACATATAAATGGCAGGAGGGAGGGCAGGGGTCACTAGGTATATCTTTTTGTTTTCTTCCTCAACCGCTATTGAGAATATTCACACATCGTCTTCTGCATATACGGTGACGTCTTCATCGAAGGTATTTTGAGGAGCACTCCCAATGTATCATGCTGAAACCAACACAGCAAGTGTATTCCACCCATAACGCCAACCCGGCTTGAAAAATGCCAATGTGCAAGTCGTCAAGTTTTTCACTCTCTAAGTCTCAGGGCGAAGGAAGATCAAGAAAGCATGGCCAGGCGACTGGGGTGGATGCCGCTCTCCTCCGCAGTCGATCCCGTAGCCGCATTGCCCTTCTTTGCCTCATTCTCCTTGTGGATGCGCTTTGCGCGGTTCTCGTCCAGCTGGATGTTGCGAGCCTTGATCTTCTCCTTGCGATTGTCGGATTTCGCACCACCGCCGCCAGCGCTAGAGAGGTCACGATTAGCTTGAGGCTCTCAAAAGGGGGGGATTTGGGCTCGGGTGGGGACGAAGGAAGGAGAACGTACGTCAACTGCACGTTGATCTTCCTCGCGGGCGACAGGCCGTCGTCAAACAGCGTGTGGTGCATCTTGTCCAGGCAGGTGCGCATATGCGTGCTGTTGGAGAACTCGACAAAGGCGAAGCCGCGGCACGTATTCTCGACGCGGTCCTTGGTGAGGCAGCGGACGGACGAGGGCTTGAGGTGGGCAAAGTGCTGGTAGATTGTCTTGTCCGTGGCCGTGTAGGGGAGGTTGCCGACGAAGACGATGTGGCGGCCGGCCTTGCCTTTGCTCTGGTCGGGCTGCGCGCCGCCGGCCTCGTCGGTGCCGTGGGTCTTGTCGTCGTCCTTCTTCTTCTTGCTCTTACTCTTCTTGCCGTTGGTCTGTGGCTCGGCAGCGGGCCCGGCCTCTGTC